ATGCACTCTCTTTGCCGTTGCCGTACAGTGGATCCCTTGAGTCCTTCTTGAGTCCTGTTAGATCTGAGCAGTAGAGTGCCCTCCGGCGAAAACATGTTCCGCGGAACGATTCTGCAGTGAAGCCCTTCAGTTCAGCTTTGCTTCCTTGCCTTTAGTTGGCACCGGAGCTGTCGACCTGGGGAGCAGACCTGCACATTGGGGCGCTGATGGCTTCGAAGCCTTTGCTTGCACCACCTCCCGGCGAGAGTGATGTTCCAGACCTTAACTCCTGGCTTGGTGAAGACTTTTTCGGTGCACAAGTAAGGGAGATGAGACAGACTGGAGCATCCCCCGAAGAGTTTCCTGGACAGGACTTTGCAGGGCACGGCCGGCTGCACGCCCCAAATGGTTTTCCAGATGCTGCTCTTCGAGGTCAGGTCCGCGACCGGACGCTTCTGCAGTTCCCTCGGCTCCACTCCTTTCCTGCACCGCCACAACCTCAAGATCACAACGATGAACTAGATGAGCTGTGGGTTTGCAAGCAGTGCCGTAGCACAGATTATGGTGGGACCGTTGGAGTGACCTCTGGTTCTGTTTTGAGGTGCGGCTCGGCCGAGCTTTATGATGCAAATCGGCCGGCTACGGGAGTGGAGCATCGGCATCTCCTTCGCCGCAATCTTCGGTGTCTTCTGCTTCGTCTATATAAGGCAAGGCAAGGGCACAGGCATCCCACGACCTCACGACAGTGGAGATGGAGACGAAGGCCGGGCTGAGAGCGAAGCACCCACGAATGATCCTTTGGTCACACCACGCCGAGTAGCGAGGTCGGAGCCAGAGACCACCTTGGCAGGAAGCAGCGAAGAGCACAGAGAGCCCAATCCAATGATGTACGACAGGCTGCTCGTACCTATGCTGAGGACGAGAGGCAGCCAGCTGGAGATTCAAGTGTGCTGCGTGGTCTTCGACATGCCCTTCGCAACACAAGTCATTCAGACACCGACCTGGAACACCAAGAAGGGACCCGAGCGCGGCATCAAGTGGAGAGGCGGAGCACCACCTCCCCCACCGAAGTGGACATACTCCAAGGACAGCTGATGGGCACCACCAGATCGGTGACGGTGCCATCGAAAGACACAGTGCCGTCTTTCGTTCTGTGCTGGGGCGACCCACTGATGAGGACGGCATCAAGGAGCAACTTGACATGTGCATGAGCGCTGCCATTTTGGCAGTGAGCAGCAGCATTCACGCCAGAGGAAGAAGTAGCCTACTACAGGCTGTGTTCGGCAAGCTTCCCCGTTTTCCAGGTGATCTTCTCTCTGTCTGATAGTGCTGCTTTGGTGATATCAGACTATCACGTGTTGACCGAACAGCTGAGAACAGAAGCTTGCCAAGTGGTGCATGAGATGGCTGCTTCATCCGTGATCAGGCGAGCCTTGCTGAAGCGGACGGCCACCTCCAGAGCCAGCGACGACGAACTACTTCCCGGCTCACTGGTGGCCTCCTGGCGGTGGAACCTTAAGGCTCGTGGCCGCAAACGTGGTGGACACATCTTTGGGCGACCCGTGGTCAAGGATGACAGGAACGTTTGGATTCAAAGCGGCGGCTGTCCGGTTCAGGTCACCCACGAGCAGCTGAGACCAGCCATCGGCGTCGAGATGTGGACGCCCAGCCCTCAAGACGTCGAGATGCTCAAGGAAGGTGGCACGCGACTTCAACAAGGCATAGAGAACCTGGACCTCCTGTTGAAGAACCGTTGAACCCCAACGTACTCGCTCCACCTGAACTTCTCGGCACTTCGCCGCCTGATGGCCTGGTGAGGGCGAAAGAGGTGAACTCTGTCAACTACCAGCGTTAGGACGGGATGCGCCACCCACCTGAGCAACCTGTGCAACAACAACAAGAGGAGCCAAGGTCACAGCAAGAGTTTGCTTTTCCTTCGGCTGCAGTCGGTGATGACAATGCAGGTGACCAATCAGCCGCGCGTCAGAACATACACGTCTTTTCTCCCCGGTAGCAGCAAAACATCTCGCAGTTTGGAGATGGACCAGAGAGGCGCGACCAGGACGGACAAGGTCAAGGTCCCAGGGACCCGCGGTACCACGAACTCCTTAACTACAACCTCGGACTCCAACGCGACCGTCAACACCACGTGCGCCGGCAACTCCGAGAAGAAGGGCGTCTTTACAGCGAGACCAACTTTTGGACAAAGCACCTTCGACACGAAGGGCAGTTCAGACCTCCTCCTCGCCACCGACACCGCCGGTACTTGAGCCCGCGACGCCCTCCGGTACCTTCTCTGCTGCCAGCTACCACCTACACCAGTTCCTTCTGAAGTTCCTGTTTCTCCTTTAGTTCCCTTTTCTGCTGAGATGTACGGCTCAGCTGAGTATACGGTGCCCCTCTTGATGACGGGCAACCTGGTGACACTGCTACGGCTACAGCTTCGAGGCCACCTGAAGGCACTACAAGCGCTGCTGCCACAGACGAGACCCAGCAGGTCCTGGACGACAGTCCTCCACAAGTGCCTCCCACCAAGAAGGCACACACGGCGCTCAAGACGTCAACCAAGAAGTCGAAGAAGAAGGAGGAGGTTCACTCAATCCTCCTCACCCACTTCGTGCTCGAAAACCTCTACGAGATCTACAAGCGAGAGTCCGGCTGGGATGGCTCACCTGACCACCGCCTTCACTCTCCTTGCGTTGCTTTTCGCTGCTGTGCCGCTTCGAGCTGAAGGGGTGACGTGTCTTCTGACCCTTCGGGTGACGGGGACAATGGGCTGGTCAATGAATTGACTCGTCAGGAGAGAAAGGCCATCCATCGGACGTGAAATTCCACGGCGGAAGCTGGTCAGCGAGTACCCGACAGGCTGAGCAGGCTGAGAGCATCAAAAGTGATCCTGTGCTGCGGAAGAGGATCATGCCCTCAAGGAACGCTTACCGCGATAAGAAACGTGGTGCTGGCCCCGTCGTGAAAGCAAAACGCGGGACTGTGATCCAAGGGTGTCACGACCCTGACCTTGGGATGCTTGATTGCTCGAATCCCACACCGACTCGACTTGCAGAGTTTGTGATCTACGAGATTGCTTGCGCTGGCTACAACCGTCGCTTCCTCAATCAAGAACAAGACGAAGTGGAAAGTCTGGTCAGGCGACGTAAGCATGGCCTTCCTGCAAGGCCAGCCTCAAGAGAGATATTTGCCAATCTACATGATACCCCCTCCAGGCCCCCTCGTGACGACATCCAGGGCAAGGCCGGGACTTTCCTTCACGAGCTTTATTGGATCATCGGCAACATCTACGACCTTTGCAACGCGCCGCGCACCTGGATCAACCACATAGTGAAGAAGCTTCGGCAAGCCGGCTTTAAGCGGCACAGGCTGGACCGCACCGTCTACTACAAGTGCGACACCAATGGCGAGCTCATCATTGTCCTCCTCTTCCACGTGGACGACTTTCTCGTCGCGTTGCGCGAAGACCACAACTCTAACTTCGACGGGCTCCTGGAGATGTTCGCCTGGGGACAGAGGAACCTGCCCGACGAGGGCGACCTTGTCTTCAAGGGTACGGAGGTGAGCCTCAAGCTCATCAACGGCGAGTACAGGATCCTCGTGACGCAGAAGGCCTTCGTGAACAAGCTCCAGAAGGGCAAGCAACGAAGAGGATGAATCTCTGAGACAATCAAGCTGAGCTCTGACGAGCTTCGAGAGTACCACAGCTGCGCAGGAAGTCTTCAGTGGCTTGCTGGGTGCACTCGACCGGACATCGCCGCGACCGTCTCCTTGAACAACTTGGGAACAGACAACGGGCCAACGCAGCTCAAGGCGACTATGTCAAAGACAGCGCAGAGGACGGCTTGGTCTTCAGAGGCGTAGCCTTGAACTACGGGATAGTCATCGTGGGCTACTCCGACTCTAGTTGGGCCAACGCCCCTGGCGGCAAAAGCCAGATGGGAGTGATTGTCGCGGTCACAAGTCCTGAATGCCAGGAAGTTACTACGAAAGCTACGCTCGAGAAGCCCAAAACGAGTTAAAAGGTCCACATTAGCTCAGCGGCCAATGCCATGGATGACGGCGTCGACAGACGAACCTGCCTGAATGCCTTCCTTTCTGAGTTGGTGCGCCCAGACTCGATTGTACAGAAGCCTCCAGGTGCACTTAAGCAGCTTCAAGTGGGATCACTCAAGCAGCTTCAGGTGACGGATTGTAAATCCCCCTACGACGTTGTGATCAGCGAGAATCCTTCTCTTGAAGAGAAGAGGACCCTGATCTCTGTGAGATCCATACAGGACGTCATCAGTCCGCACCAGTTCATTGTGTCCCGACAGATCTGACCCTCGCTGATGTTTTGACGAAGCAAGGTGCCATCCTTCGCGAAACGTTCTGCAAGTGGATGAAGTGCCCCATAGTGAAATTCCAAGGAGAGTGAACACGAAAAACAAAAATACGCCAGTGTGAATTATCTGCAAGTGCATCCGTGGCGCTTTGGTATTCATGCACTTCCTTTGCCGTTGCCGTACAGTGGAGCCCTTGAGTCCTTTTAAATCTGAGCGGAAGAGTGCCATCCTGCGAAAACATGTTCCGCTGAGAGATCTGCAGTAATTAAAATTCTTCAGTTCAGCTTTGCTTGCCTGCGTTTAGACTTCACGGGCTGTTCGGGTTCGACCTCGCAATTCCCTCAGTCGTGTTGAAGACGCCGCATGTTGGTCAAGACATATCAACTCCCTTACTTCGAGTTTTGGCCTTTGATCACATGGTTATTCGTGATAGGAAGCTCCGGGGCTGCGATCATGGCCTCTTTGCAATGCTTTTCGTCGTGTTCTACCGTATCTGCTCAAGTTCCACGTACATTGGGCCTCAAATCCATCCAGATGCACATGTGAGTATTGAGGTCAATGCAGGGAGCCGATCGATCTTTCGCAAAGGAAGTCTTGAAAACGAAAGAAGGCAGTGCCAAAGGCCGTAGTGGCAAGATCAGCAAAAGTTATCTCGAGCTCCAAAGAATCGACGTTGCACTTGGGAGTGCCATGGCCCCTACCGACTTCGAGGCCTCCGAGCTGCTGGGCTTGGACCAGGCCAGGACTTTACTGTCCTTTTCAGACTTGGCTGCTTAGTTGCTGGGCTGTTCGCGATGTCCAGTGAAAGGACGCCTGCCGGACGGTGCTCGGGGACCTGTGCGGTGCCTCTCTGCGACCTGTCGCACCTTGGCTCCCAGGTCGTGAGGAGCAGCGCAGAGAAGGGGCTGCTGCGGGCTTCGAATGGGCGTCGGGTCGAAGAGTCGAAAAATTGAAATCCTTCCCACATTCCTGGAATCGGTGACGGTGAGAGTTGATGCATTGTTCCAGTGGCAATGCCAAGGAGCTGGAGTTCAAGTCGTTCCACGACTGCGCCTACTTGACGGCGAAGGTGAAACAGTGGTGTATCGTTGCAGAACGGGCATCTGCTTCTGGCATTTGCTTCGGTGTTTTGATCATTGATCAATCTTTTGTTTATTTGTCCTCTGCCAGGCTTTGGGTGTCCAGGTCCGTTTCACACCAGCAGATCCGTCACAGGCGCGGGTGGATGTGGTGTTTTTGCACCTTGGAAGCACTTGCTGAGGTATGCTGACAGCAAGCCAGCCAGACCGCATCCATCAAACCTCTGATTACCAGCATTCCGAGCGACGTCAAGGGAATGAAGTGTTTTGTGTCCGCACGATGCCCTGCTACGGAGTGACCGAGCTTGAGGGTAGACGGATGCTGCAAGCAAAGTACTCCGCAGTCTTTGAAGTGTTTTTATTGTCGCTGCTAGCAGAGAACTGCCTGGAAGCTGTTATTGCAAGTGGGAGAAGAGGGCATTGAACAAGGGATCGTGTCACACCTGATCCAGTCCGAGCTGTCCAAGCAACTTTCTGTTCGATCGAGATGTTCCTTTCCCCACCACGATAAAGGAAACACTGGCCTGGCAAGCTCCGTGCATCACACCCTTGTACGATCCCAGCACATGGTCCTGGTGCCTTGAAAGAAGGAGGGCTGTCGCGCCTAGGACGAAGAAGAAGAGGGACAGAGAGATGCGGATAGTCACTTCCGGCCTCTGGTTCTTCCGAGACGCACTGCAAGATCAAGCCTTGATAATGAAAATGGGTGAACTTGGAGGATTCGCTTGTGTGTAGATGGAAGATAGGCGTTTCAGATTTCAATGGCCAAAGCCAAAGCAGATTGATGAATGACATCGGATCTGCTTTCCCACGCCTCTTGCCGTGGAAGCTTGATTCAAGAAGCTTTAGAGCCTACGCAACTTCAAGGTACAACGACGGCGAAGGCTTTGCGCAGTACAGTGCCGGCCCGCTGCCGGAGGGCCTGCAGTGGAGTCACCATAGCAAGGACGTGTCTTCGGCTCAATTGCATTGGGGCACAGGTGTTGTCTGAGTAGGCTGGTCTAGGAGTCCAGGGCTTCTGGTGCTCAGGTGGTCCTGATGCTGGGGGAGCCTTCGGACAAGTACGGCGGCGGACGGTTTAGAGCCGTTGGCATCAGCTATGAGACCTTAGGCGCGAGGCGAGTGCATTTCCGAAGTCCAGGCACAGCTGGTGGACACATTTGCACTGTGCAGGCCTTGACATACAGTTCAGAGAGAGCAACTGGAACGATGAGAAGAATCCCATGGCGTTCGTCTCCATTTTCCCGCGCCTGGATCCTTCCCATGGCCTTTGCCAGCATCTTGGCTTCAAGGCACAATCATCAGGAACCCAGCGTCCGCCGAGCGCTTTGTCTGCTCTGCTTTGCCACACGGCCCCAGGATCTGTGGCAAACTGGCATCGTTTAGATGCGGCCTCTGCAAGCAGAGATCGTATTGCAGTTCCAGTTGTCAGAAGGCTGACTGGACAAAGCACCAGGGAGCCGCTTGGTACAGAGGACAGTTTGTAGTTCTGAGGGACTTCCGTACTAGTTCTGTTGACAGCTTCTTCTCCTTGGTAAACGCATTCGCCCTAAGAAGCAACCTCTCGTACAATGCTATAAAAGACAGCCAGAAAAAGCCCATTGCACTGAAATGGCTTCCGATGTCGCTCCTCGTTCTTGCCTCCCAGCAGACTTCATGAAAGTTGAACTTAGGACTGTCCCGGGTTTCTGGAAAAGAAAGCTTCGCTGCGCTGGGAGGGCGAACTGATGCTGCCACGCTGCCAGCAGCTCTCGCGGAAGCTCACATCGACACTTTCCGAGGCCACAACATGGAGTCCTGCCGCCATCTCTTGCACCCGCATCTTGGCCAGGTGTTTCTGGACAGCATGGACTGATCCGACGAGTGCACTGCAGCGCCAACGCTGTTCGGCTGCGGATCACGCTTCCGCTTCCGTCTCGGTCACCGCTGCAAAATGACCGTCAGCAGCCAAGCAGGCAAGAATCCTCTGGGTTTCGTGTTCCTGATGCGTTGTGCAGCGCCCAACATCGGGCTTCTGGATCTGTCTGGACTGCGAAACACTGCAGGCGAGTAGTCGTTCATGCGAAGGGTGGCTTTCATTGACTTCGTCGTGGCTCCTTTGGGCTTCAGTTGGCTTTCGTGGCTACTCTTATGTGCCAGACTTCAACTTACATTTTAGACATTGCCTCAGCAGATACCAATCACTGAGCAGTACAACAAAAATGTCTAGCTCAGGTGGTTGATTTTGCGCACTAGCCAGTAGCCTGGGCGAAAGTCTTGCAAAGCAGGGCTCATGGTCGCAGCCTGCCTGGAAACCATGCAGACTTCGCAACCTCATCAGAAACAGAAGGATACAGGGTTTGGAAGAAAGTCGCTGACCCCTTTCATGTTCTGGGTGTTCTTTCTGCACCTTTCGGTTCGCAGTCCACATGCAGGAGTCCCCCTGGGATTTCATGGAGACACGGATCGCCCAAGCAGAGGATGTATTGCATCTTTCGAAGGGGCTTGTCCATTTCGTCTGAATGCCTGCTTTGAGATGCAGTTTTCGAGGAGGCCACACAGCGTCTGCGTCGGCAACTGGCCATCCACCCGCCTGTGCTGGACACAGTCACGGAATCGTGGCAGCATGTGGCAGCAGTATGGGGTCCGGCAATCGAACATCGAGCATAGAAATCACAGTGCACAGCCGCAGTCCCGAGTGCAAAAAAGTACTCAGGTCCGCCGAAGTGTTAGGTGTTTTTCTGCCAGGAACAGCTCGGCCTCCTGCGGCGGCACCAGAAGGAGCTGAAGGACTGGACTCTGGAGAGCATCGCCCAGTCTTTTCTCGACCGCTCCAATTCCGCTGCTTGGGAGCTTGCGGTGTTGAGGCCGGAGATGTCTGCCTTGAAATCCCAGGTAGAGGCCCTGAAAGAGGAGAACGGGCATTTGACGAGCCAGCTCGGCGACGCCCAGAGGCGTGAAAGTGAGGTGCAGCAGATGATCGGCCGTGCAAAGAGCCGGAACGGGCTATTGCTCTTGGAAGTGGAAGAGATGAGGCAACAGTTGGAAGCTCAAAAAGGTATCCAGGAGCTGGCCGAACGACTACGGGATGAGTTGTGTCGGGCAGAACGTGCTGCCACTGACGCTGAGATGGAGTGTGAGTCACTGCGGAAGCAGCTGGAAGGATCCGGACAAAGACAGTCATCTGATACGGATGCAGATGACAACACAGAGGAGCTGCGTGAGCGTCTAATGGAGATGCAAGAGGCACTGAATGCGGCCAGAGACCGTGCAACTGATGCCGAAATGGAGTGCGAAGACCTGCGCAAACAGCTGCAGCTGGGACAAACTGCGCGGGCATCTGCGGAACGCGAAGGGGATGACGACTCGCATCTTTTTGAGAAGTTGGCAGAGTTACAGGAACAACTGGATGTTGCCAGGGATCGCGCCACTGACGCTGAGATGGAGTGTGAGTCACTGCGAAGGCTGCTGGAAGGATCCGGACAAAGACAGCCAGCTGATACGGATGCAGATGACAACACGGAGGAGCTTCGCGAGCGTCTCATGGAGATGCAAGAGGCACTGAATGCGGCCAGAGACCGCGCAACCGATGCCGAAATGGAGTGCGAAGACCTGCGCAAACAGCTACAGCTAGGACAAACTGCCCGGGCATCTGCGGAACGCGAAGGGGATGACGACTCGCACCTTTTTGAGAAGTTGGCAGAGATACAGGAACGACTGGATGTTGCTAGGGATCGCGCCACTGACGCTGAGATGGAGTGTGAGTCACTGCGGAAGCAGCTGGAAGGATCCGGACAAAGACAGCCAGCTGATACGGATGCAGATGACAACACAGAGGAGCTGCGTGAGCGTCTAATGGAGATGCAAGAGGCACTGAATGCGGCCAGAGACCGTGCAACTGATGCCGAAATGGAGTGCGAAGACCTGCGCAAACAGCTGCAGCTGGGACAAACTGCGCGGGCATCTGCGGAACGCGAAGGGGATGACGACTCGCATCTTTTTGAGAAGTTGGCAGAGTTACAGGAACAACTGGATGTTGCCAGGGATCGCGCCACTGACGCTGAGATGGAGTGTGAGTCACTCCGAAGGCAGCTGGAAGGATCCGGACAAAGACAGCCAGCTGATACGGATGCAAATGACAACGCGGAGGAGCTGCGCGAGCGTCTCATGGAGATGCAAGAGGCACTGAATGCAGCCAGAGACCGCGCAACCGATGCCGAAATGGAGTGCGAAGACCTGCGCAAACAGCTACAGCTAGGACAAACTGCCCGGGCATCTGCGGAACGCGAAGGGGATGACGACTCGCAACTTTTTGAGAAGTTGGCAGAGTTACAGGAACAACTGGATGTTGCCAGGGATCGCGCCACTGACGCTGAGATGGAGTGTGAGTCACTGCGGAAGCAGCTGGAAGGATCCGGACAAAGACAGCCAGCTGATACGGATGCAGATGACAACGCAGAGGAGCTGCGTGAGCGTCTAATGGAGATGCAAGAGGCACTGAATGCGGCCAGAGACCGCGCAACCGATGCCGAAATGGAGTGTGAGGACCTACATCGGAAACTCTGCAATTCAGCTGTGCAGCAGCTCAACGATAAAATGGTTCTGCAAGATGGCAAGACGCAGCGGGAGCTGGAGCTTGAGAAGCAGATTGCAGATTTGATGGGCGATTTGCGTAAGTCCTAGGGCCTAGGGCACCCTGCCAGCCGAGTCTGCCTCGTCCTGGACTGCTTGAGCACAGGTACTGTGAGCAGCCAAGGAGGCGCAGAAAAAAAACACAGTCAGCGTGGTGGACTTACAGGCTCGAATGCTGCGACTGATGTGCTTCTGCCCGATGCTAGGCATCTTTTTTCTCGTGGCTGTCTGTCTGTCCAACGATCCAAGAGCCTTTCTTCGTACTTTCAATGCAGCACCTAAGACCTAAGGCCAGTTCTGCAAACGACATTTTGGCCTGTTTTGGCAAGATTCTTGTGATTTAGCCAGGCTCCGAAGATACCATTCGATGTTTCGAAGCTCACCTTCCAGGGGTTCTTGTTCCAGCGCAGGATCCGAAACGTATTCCTGCTTTGAGCTGACTGAATGCTCGAACGACATAAGGCAGGCAGGTTCATGTAGCCCCAGAGGGTGCTGACGTCACATGTAGCAACTGCCCACACCCCCATCCCCCCAATTTTCGGGAGTTGAATCGCGCGGCTGCGGGAAGGATATTCGGGGAGTCATTTTGCATCGACATGTCACTTCACTCGCTGAGACATGTGTTGAGGTGGCAAGATGCCAGCTGATTCGCAGCATCGGCTTGATTGGTCGAGCGCAGAGCCAGCATCTAAGAGGCTAAGATCCCACATCACGGACACAAGGTTGTTCGTAGCTGATGGTATTTGGACACATCTATCGTCTGCTGAAGGCAAACCCGCACAGCCGACAGTGAATTCTATCACCTCGGTTTCGGTCGATGGCCCTGCTTCGCCTAGAAGTTCTTGCGTTTGTGTCCGCATTGCTGCTTCAGGGTGTTTATGTGCAATTCTACGACATCTTTGCTACCTCCTCTGGGCCTGCCAACATCACGGCTTCAGCCGCAGAGGCAGAAGTAGCGGTGGAAGTTCGGGAATTCCTTTCGGCTGATTGTGATGGGCCGCCTGCTCGCCTGTGGCACGTGGTGCCCTTCAACCCTGCTTGCATGGCACTGCGGCCTCAGATGCAAAAGCCGGGAAAGACAAGCCACGAAGCATTGGCCTCTGCACCAATGCTCTACGGGCGAGTTTCATGTGACACTCTGCGCGATGCAGAGGGAGGCTTCGTGGAGATTTGCTCTGACGAAGACTGCAGCGAGGATGGCTGCCAAAGAGTCTCTGTCGTTCCCGAGGGAGAGTGCGGCACCAGCTTCACAGGCTTTGCTGGGGCGTCCTGGCGGTGCATCAAGAGCACAGATATCCCGAAGTGAAATGAAGCCATCAGGAGCAAAATAATTCCCCCATGGCCTTGCATCTTGTGCTTTCGCACAGCATCTGTGTACATCAGTTTTGCTGCATCATTCCGAACTCGCAACATTTGCTTGCCGGCATATAGCCAACAGCTGCGCAAGCAACTCCTATCTCTCCCCTCAGCCACGCATGCCTTCTGCAAGCTGCCAGTCTGCAATGCCCCCCCAACCCCGAAGCTCAAAACAGGTCTGAAGCCCTCGAAGACGTAACATCTCCCTCTCTCATACCGACTGCATGGGGTGGTTCATGGCTGCGACGAAATCCACCAAGGCCCCGTCACGTACGGGTAGAAGGCAGCTTTGATCCTTGACAGACTCTTGCCATGTTTTATCGGTTCGTGCTCGTGTGAGATCCCTACTTTGTTCATCCGCCTAAGTGTTTGCGTTGGTGTCTGGTGATTTGTCAGGTTCTGCACATAAAGCAGGGCCGAACCACGTTTAGAGCGCAACGATTTACATGGAATAGGTGACATGTTGATACAACAGACAGAGGTTTATCAAAGACACGATTCGTGTTTCAAAGAAGGCCTTCTGCGCGCAAGGGCCTTGTAAGCGTTTCCAGGCCGGCCATGACCCGGTCCTGTCCGCGGGCACGGGCGTGCCAAAGAGGCCGAGCCCTCGGCAGAGATTTGATAGAATGCACAAATGGAGGGAGATACTCTGATACTCTGATACACAGTTTGCTGGCACATGCCACTACATGATGAAATCACTTCAGAAGCAACTTCTTGGATTGCCACCTTTGCATTCGCTGCAAGCTTTCTGAACCATCGCTAGGCGAGCTGCAGCCGGCAGGACCGCACATGCAACCTGGAAGTGGCGGAGAAGAACCTGGAGGCTGCTGTCCATGAGTCCATCGTTTTCCCAGGCGAAGCCCTGGCGTCGTCTGGCATTCCTCGAACGATTTTTTGCAGTTTGCGTGTCCGTCCTCTCCGGACAGTGTCGTGTTGGCCTTCCACCTGGTCGCGGTGAGCTGAGCTCCGCCTGGAAATGCGACATTCTGTCCGGACGCCGACACTTGTTGCTGGGTGATGTCGACGTATGACACTGACAGTGCTTCGAAGCTATGTGCCAGCCATGTATGATGTATGAAACGATTAGCATGACATGCCAAGGCAGCAGAAGCAAGTCTGTCTCTTGATGGCACTGTCCTAGCCACAGTGTGTGCAAGTGCCACGCTTATCTGTCATGCGAAGAACAAGATGCCGGAGAGTCGGGCTGGCGAGTTGGGCCAATCCCAGCTACCACACCGGTACATGGATTAGACTTGTCGGCAGTCAAGGTACACGACCTTGGAGGCAGCAACTTCTCCGCTGCCATCACAAGGTCATGTCCTCATCGTCCACCACCTATTCGGCGGTAAGGCGACTTCTGCCTTGCATCAATGGAAGAGGTCTGGTGGTCTCAGCTTCGTTGAGTTCTACGCTCCTTGGTGTGTGGCCCCTGATACAAAGCATGAGTACAGTTTTTGCAAGAGACTTCCGCTGCCCCTGGACATGCCTGGACTGCATGTGAGGTGGCCACTGCAAGAAGCTGGTCCCAGAATGGGAGAGGCCTGCTGAGCTTTGCTTCACGTCTGGGCGAGTCTTGGAATTCTTGCGACTTCTTTCGGTATCTTCTTTCGGCATCTTTTGACCTGCATGGGCTTGGCTGAGCGGCTCAGTTCATGGAAACTTGATTCAGCTTGACCTTCGCAGGACCGCAGAGCTGTGCAGAGATGATGGAATCTTGGTGGCCAAGGTGCTGCACCCAGTTCCGGGAGTGTCATGCAATATCTTTTTTCTAGTCTATGGGCCTTAGGTGCAGGACGGGTGCACCTCACCAGTGGTCGACAGTCTTAGGGCCTTAGGGTTAACCTCTTTTCTTCACCCTGCAGCTCGCGCAGAGCAGGAGGCCAAAAGTCTACGGGCAATAGCCGAGAGGGAGCTTGAGACTGATCCACTGCCTCTCGAGGTTGACTCCATCGCTGAAAAGGCTCTAGCGCAACAGCACGAGGTGCAGCTTGAGCCTCGAGGGTCGAGGAGCATCTGCTTGTGCCTCCGACTAGATGCAGGCATTGGATAGCAACATCAGAACCTTCAGCACGGGCCCAGGTCGTTCCCAACTCTGAGACTCTTCCGAGGCAGCCCGAAGGCCACCAGATCGTGTGCGATTTGAAAACCTGCGAAGCATGCAGCCAGAGCTAGAGCAGCATGTGAACAAGTAGGCTGGGCGACGAGGTCAGGGCTCCACAAGGTCTCGAGGGCAGCTTGTGTCTAAAGAAGGTGTTGGCGTGGGGGCACGGCGGGACAGTCGGGAAGTCACGCCTGCACTGATCCTTCCCCGACAGCTGCATATGGCTTTCGGAGAGGGCGCAAAGTGAAGCTGCAGGTTTTGGTTTCTGCTTCTTTCTGCCGTTGTCGGCAGGTTTCCGTCAAGTACGAAGGTCCTCGCACTGCTGCCAAAATGGCAGAGTGGGTCAAGGCACATCTTGTGCAGTGATGCAGGAACTCTAGAGGCTCATACTCGTAGACTGACACTCGTAGATGCTCTAGAAGCTCTTGCGGTCTGGATTTGCGAACCCAAACCCCCGACAGCAGTTTACTTTTGTGAAGAGCACGATGCAGGGTTGTGGTCACACATATCAGCATGCTCATACACTGCTTTCCCTGCAGGCCAAACAAAACGAAGACCTGGTCCAACGTGGGGCTCTTTGCATGAGTGGTATGTGCGCTGTTAAAGCTAGGCTTGAATTTACATGGCTGGGCAAGAATGCTTAGGCTCGAGCTTGAAGTTGGTAGCTTACGTAGAGATCCTCGTCTGACATGGTGTGGTTGCGGGGCGTGCTGGCCGTGTTCGGCTGTGTGCTTGCAAGGGGGCGTGAGGCCTCCATCGCAGCAACCGGGAACCCGCATATGTCCGAGTGTCCAGGTGAAGGCTGCGATTGCCCGGCACAAAAGCAGCTGGACCTGTCCCTGATGAATTTGGTACCCTTCCAACCGGTGCAGGCGGACTCTTTCCTGGGCATGGAAAAATACGAAACGAGGGGCTTGGAAGTGAATCTCTACAACTTCAAACAGCCGGCGCGACTCTCCGAACTCCAGCTGCCTTTCAAGTTGCTGCTTCTCAAAACCCTTGATCTCACTGACCTACATGTCCTAGAGGTTTCTAAGGAGCAGGCACAGGACTCTTGGTTCCCAGGATACGAGTGGTCCGTGCTGGTGTGCGGCCGCTGTGACGGCCGTCACTTGGGCTGGAAGTTCGTGCCTGCACGATCCGGCAGTGCCTTCTATGCCCTCATCGTGGAAGCGGTGGAGGGGGAGGGGGAACGACTCGCAGAGGCCAACGGCAAGCTCCTCGCGGGCCTCCGCGCTGTGGGGCAGCCATTGGCAGCCCTTGGACTAGCGGCTTCAGCCCTGCAATCGCTTCTGGACGCGTAGAGATGCGCAGTGCCAGGGCATGTACATAAATCCGCGCGAACTGCGCAGATGTCTCGAGCCCCGGAGATGAGAGCACACCGTCGCAACACCCCTATCCGCCCTTGATGTGCAAGCTGAGGAGTTAGAGTTCCAGGAGTCTCGAATGGCATCGAATGGCTAAGGACTGCCGGCTTCTTCGGAGGAAATCTCAGCTTGGGCCTCTCAGAAGCCGGTCGCAGTGCTGGGGCCAGCAGCCAAGACAGAACGGAGGAGTGCAAAGGCGAGAAGCTTTGCGCTTTGCCGTGCTTTTTGAGTTTTTCCGAGGCTCCTGGAGGGTGTGGTCGAGAGCAGCGTCTTGCTTCAAGCTTTGGAGGACGGACAAACTTGGAGATCGTTGGGCGAGTTTGGAATTTAGTGACCATGCAGGATGCATCGTTCACCTTGAACCCTTCGGCCGCAGGAGGCTTCGTGAAAGTGAGAGTGAGAGGGGCTGAGAGGCACTGCACTTTCCCGCAGGCGAGGTGCCCATTGGCATCGTGGAGTCGACAAGCCCTGCACTCCTGGAGAGTCTAGGCCGGCGGGTGTTTTTGTTTTTCGAGCAGCGGTACGCTTGCCGCTGCCCCAGCCTGCAGGCTCGACAGGTTCCGGGCCGAGGCCGACGCTGCCCTGCGCGGCGCTCCTCAGACCCGCTCATACCCCTCAGCCTCGGACGCGTTTCACAGTAACCATCCAAAAGGTCGCTCTGCTGCGCAGTTTCGACTTCGAAGAGAAGGCGGGTAGCTTTTTGAGGAGCACCGTCACATGAGCCAAGAGCGCTACATTTTCCCGCAGATTCAGACACGAACGAACGCCGCTCCAAGGTGTCGGTTTTCACTCCGCAAGGCAGCTGGCCCAACAGCTTCGTGCGGCGCCCTGCTGAGGGGTTCGCATCGGATGCCAGAATCTCAATCTAGGGCTGTCGGCTGTCGTGAGAACTCATCCTCGGGCTTCTCCAGAACTCGAAAACAAACCTTCTTGACTCGTCTGAGGTGCTAGCACAGGAGTGAGGGCAATACGACCTCCTTCCAGTTCTGTTGCAAGTGCCCTGGCGCCGAGGAGGCTTTGATGTCATGGATAGCAGCGAAGCGGGTGCCGGTCGCGTGCTTGGTCTGCAATCCTTCCGCCGAATTTCTTTGCTTTGGCAGATGTCAGAAGACAGTGCAAATGTCTCTTCTTGAGAGGCGCTGATCCCAGGATCGGAGCAGACGGTGCGGACCCATGCAATGGAAGTGCACGACATTGGTCTACATACCCGCAGATGAAGGTTTTCTCGATCACTTGAGTTTGAGTATGCGTCCGCTCTGCGGACATTAAGCGTAAGACTCTTGACATGTGGCCACGTGTGATCTTGTTGCCGGGCCGGGAGCTTTCGCTCAGGAGAAGTTCTTCTTGCAGGACATCGATCCCGGAAATGGCTTAGTGCTTTACTTCGGTGGCGGGCCTGGAGATCGCAAGATGAACTCCTGCCAGGATGGAGCCAAAGCCCTCGACTTCCCTGCTTTTGAGGTGAAGACGAGCAGCTCCGCCGCGATCTCCACGTTGCTTGCACGGAATGCATTCAATTTTGGGTTGGTTGGAAGTTTAGGGAAGACCTCGGACTGCTGTGGCCTATTGTCTGCCCCACCTTGGGTTTTGTTGGTGCGCTGGTGCCAAGCGGCGATCTACTCTTACAGACCTTGCAGAGGCACCGAATGCAACAGAATTTTGCATTCTTCACAAGTAGAGCCTCAGGAACTGTCTGTGTCGTTCCGCAGTGATGCGAAGCTGAAGTGGGCTTGGGCCACAGATGCTCATCTGGACAGCTGATACTGACACCCGTGCGATAGTGACAGCATGATCTGCGCAGCTCAGCAGCTCTTGCCTCTCGAACATAGAACAGTTAGACAAGCCCCCTGTGGCCCTATGACGCCTCCACGGAGTCTTGGAGCGATGGTCAGGCGTGTTGGGCGTGCTGCTCCGACCTACGTCTACGTCCTGCAAGTAATTCGTCGGGGAGCCGCCAATTTGGCTTTGGTCCATGCCAAAGAAGGCCATGGCCTCCGGGCTCGCAAAGTGCATTCAAGTCCAGCATTCTTGGCGAAAAGCGCTATCGAATCGAACTTGCAATTGCGGACATCGCCAAACTTTACGTCTGCTTGTACGATGCCTTGTGGTGCTCAAGCAGGTCTAAGTGGTTGGCTCCGAGCTAGCAGCAGAACTGCAGCTGGCTGCGTGCATGTCGACGGGGTTCGACTGTGGGCACATGAGCTGTGTTCGTGCGCAATCAGTCGCACATCGCGCACTCGTTTACATGCTGCGAGAAAGAACAGCTGCTTGAAGTGGATCTGCTTCTCGCGCAGTGCGATCATGCGCTGAACTTCTTTGATGTATCATCTGGCAGATGTCGAGGTGCACCTAAAGAACAGCCAGTTCGGTGAGAGCTTGGGCAAGAACGCAGAGACCCCGGCAATTGTCTCTGCTCTTCACAGCTCACAGCTGCAGCTGCCCGTCCATTTACTAGGCTGAATCTAGTATGGCAGAGTCGACTGTGTTGCTAAATTCTACCAAGCAGTGGCGGACAAGAGCTTACTTCGTCAGGGTTTTCGAAGAAGTCTCAACTGCCCCACACCCCCACTCCCCGACACGCCCCGCACCCTCACACCTTCACACCCCCCCCGCCCCCACACACCAGCTGCAACTGCAAACATGCACAGTTAGGGAACAGTATAGGCATTTATGAAGACAAACTGCGATGCAGAACAACACATCAACGCCGTTGTCAAAGCCGAATCACTGCAATGCCTCACAAACATTATTAAGCCCCGTAGTTTGCTCGAGTCCGACAGTGCCCCTGCTGCAGCGGTCTCGAAGTGCATCCAAAGCGAGGACGTGGTCCTTATCCTGCAAACTACTGCACTGCTGTACTCTGTTGCTGAAAGGTTGGATTGACCCCTGCCGACTTTCCAGAGGCACTGGTTTTGCTTTGTTGCTCCTGGGCTTGCTGTATCTTGCTGTTCTGCTCAAATTAAGAGGGAGGTCTCTTGAGAGGTGGCGATCTGGGAGTTCGGAGAGACAGAGGACGCCGACAAGGCAGGGAGCTTTGTGGCCGCAGAGCTGGAGGATTACCAACTGTGGTGCCGGAAGCCACGAGCAACTGCCAAGGTGTATCGGCTGTCCCAGCAGTCCTCTGGAGCAGCCTTGACGCGAAAGGCAGTTCAGGCAACTCTGCGGTTGGAGCCGCGGCAAGGTAAGGACTATAGGGTAGCGCGAAGCAGCTGTTCTGACAACAAGGGTGCTCTAGCTGCTGGCAGCAGCAGACATAGTCAGGCGTTTTGTCGCTTGCCTGGCGTCAGAGCAGAAACAGTGCAGAGATGTATTTCGCAGAGGGCTTCCTGGCTTTGTGAAGACTTATAAGACTGAATGACCAAAGCACACGGCCACATTTGCCATCGTTCGTTCCTGTGGAATTGGGTCGGCAGGTGTGTTGTTTGATGTGGTATGTGGTGTGTGTGTGTGTGTTTCTGCATCCACGGTTTCGGTTTCATGTTGGTGCACCTGGGCACGATGCCTCTGTCATCCCTCAATGCGGCTCTCGGAGGCCTTCGTCGATGACTGGCGGCAGGGGAAGCTCTCGGCAGAAAAGGCGCCATTTGTGCACAGAGCAGTTGAGCCTTAGAGCTGGCATTGTGCGTGCCTTGGTTGACGCTCGAGCAGGCAGCATTGCAGGGTGTTCGAGAATCCTTGGATTCGACATTTTTTGGTCAAGCGGGCATTGAGGTTTGCAGGCAGTTGGTCTGTTTCAGGATTTGGGAATCTCGGACGTTAAGGCTGGAGATCCCTTAGGGCAATCCTGACCGTGCCCGGTGTGTCAGAAGGGTACTTAACTGCCGTGTTACGATGTTTGGGTTTGGTCAGCCGCAGCCACCTCGTGGCATTAGCGGTGCAGTTGCCGGTAAGGACGCCGCCGACAAAAAGAAAACCAAGAAACGAGGGCCCGTACTTCGCATGTTGCCTAAAAGTCAATAGCCTGAGGTATAGCATCACGACGAACCTAGTCAAACATATTTGTCAATGTTGTAGTGCGGGTAGGGAGACGTGTCATCATTTACCGGGCAGCGTCTCGGCTCGACTGCTGAATTTTCAGTTCTCTTCCCCCCGTCCTTTCGCCCCGCCTGGCTCTGGTCACGGCTTCGTCGGGCGCATCTTCCGCCTCTGCTTCTGCGACCGCCGACTCGGCCTCCAGCAGCAGCGACTTCGCCGACTTCTTGGAGGCGACGGGGCTGCGGCGCCTACAGCGACTTCCGTGGTGGATGCACCATCTTTGAGCGGAAGGGGGCAGACGGCCCCCGTGACCACGTCGCGCTTGAGGGGCGGCACTTTGGCGCGTGACGAGCGCGGCAACAGTCGGCGGGACGGCCATGGTTGTTGGGACCCGGTGAGCTCCAGCTCCAGCTCTCGCAAGCCCGTGCCTGCCTAGGCCTGCGGCTCTGCCAGACGATTTGACGGTGCTCCCTACAACAAGCGCCCGCCGTTGCCGACGGCGGGGGGCGGGACTGGGACGGCCGCGCCGGCAAAGGCCCGCCGTTTAAAGGTGTCGCCACCAAGTCCGCGACATGCGACACCTTCAGGCCTGTTGCTGGGGCGTACGACGCCATCCAGATCCTCTTCGTCGTCTTCGCTCCTGGCCAGCTGGCGCCGTGGAGGACCTGCTCCAGTACAGGCTCCATTGCTCCATCAGCTCCATGAGTGGCGCATCAGCAGTCGACCGGGCAGCGTCTGCTGAATTTTCAGATTCCGCCTTCGCCACCCCTTTATTTAACTTTCGTCTACGACTCTGATTGATTAGACGGCGGGGACCCGCCCGACGGGGTGGTGACCGTGAAGTGAGCACCCCGGCACCGGTTTACGGGGCGGTCTGCCCGGCCGGGCGCAATTCGTGCTTCGACCAAAAACGGGCCACTGCGCCTAAATAGATTTTGGCCAACACGTCCGCAGCGCTTGTTATACTAAATTGTGCCGTCCAGGGACTAGGATTGCAGTCCGGAGACATTCCTGCATGTTGCAAACACGTTGTAACGCTAGAGGGTCTGGTCTCGGGCGCAAAGGGGCACAAAAAATTAACATAACGAGAAGCAACAGTGCTGCCTTATGCTGCTTTATCAGTAAAAAACAAACCTATCCATTAAAACGACGTAAAACAGTAGAGGATCTACTCGAAAAGCACGGGACCGTATTGCGTCGTTCCCCGAACAGCATCAGCATTACCTGACTTTTTTGGCTTATCGAAAACAGGATCCGGTGGTTTCAGTCACGAGTGACACGTTCGACAGCCTCGTCATCAACAATGACAAGGCGCAGCGTGAGACTGTGTTCAATTGCATGAACCATGTTCGACAACCACGGCCAGGGTGTTGTAGCTGCATGCAGCTTCCTCCCTGCCTGCCACCTTCCCTCCATCCATGATGGATCAACGTGTGTGAAGCTATTCAAAACCAGATTGCAAGACACCAACAACAAGAGCCTCACCGAATGTGCAGCACGATGACAGCGATACTGCGTGTGCGTCCCATGCATGGGTCTGCCAAACCCGGCTTTCCCGGACCAGTGCGCACCTAACAAATCACTTGGTCCATTGGAAACCGGAACCAGAGGTATGAAACTGCTTGGAGATCACTTCACGAGTAGGTCGGCGTTTTTATTGGGCAGTTCAAGTTGATCGTTGGCAGGATGTGCTGGTCGAGTTCTACGCTCCTTGGTGCGGCCACTGCAAGGTGAATCTTTCGTTTCGGGGTCTGCCTTTCTTCATGGCGATCGGGGGATGTTGGGAGACTGGGACAGGCTCTGGCTCCAGAATACAAGCTGGTTGTTGCGGTCTCGGACCGCTTCGGTTCGTGTACTTCTGCTTTTAGGGCCCAGAGGCCGGCAGCATGGAAACATGTTCCCAAGGCCCAGCACTATGCACAGGACGACGGCATTTCGATCGTGCGACCTGGTTGCCTAGACTCCGAGAAGTTGGTTCTTCAGGGAGTACTGGCGTGGCTTTCGTGTCGGTCTTTTTCTGCCAGTCGACCTGCCGGGGCAGCTGAAATGTTAGTCCCGGGGCATGGGGCCACAATGCCCGCCGGACGCTGCAGCAGGCTGCATTCATTCGAATTGAGCCCTCCATGCTTCCTCGACCCAGGAAGATGGATGCGACGAAGTGCGCCTGGTTTTACCTGAGATGCGGTTTCTAAAGCGTAGGGCGATCGTCGTGATTATACCCTGATGTATGGGGCGCTCTCTAGAAAGTGGTGTTCACTGTTGTAAGCCAGCAAAATCACCTGTCGGCGGTGCTCGGCAACAGCTCGTCCACATCAGGTACAAACATAGCTCTGCAGACATCAAGAGCTATCCGACCCTCAAGCTTTATGCAAAGGCAGGGGGAGACTCGCGAATTGTACAGGTACTGGGGGTTGGATCTGCCAGACTCCCGTCTCAGCTTGCAGGGCAAGAAGGAGACTCCCGTGGACGGGGAGTTCAAGTCAACGCGGACCAAGGCCAGCTGCGCCCACTGACAAATTCATCCTAGTCTAGTCTCCGTCCAGCTTATCACGGTGGGCCCTCGACCTTTGTTTCACAGGATGGAATTCTGGCGTTCATCGAAGAGCACCGTGCTGGTATCTCAGCATCCTTCCATCAGGAGAATGGAATCCCTGCAGTGCACAGCGAACTCAATGCACAACCTGTGCAGCGAGCAGCTCCCTGCCTTTGCTTCTCAGTATTCGTGTGAAGCACCGAGGCCACGAAGAAGAAGGGAGGCAAAGGAGGAAAGCAGAAAGACACAGACAATGAGTAATTGCCTAAGCCGCGCCAATGCTGGAACAAGGGCTGGTGGTTGAAGCAAGAATGCCTCTACTGACCCCTCGCTTCGATCCCTTTCTTTCTGGTGCTGTCTCTGCCTAACTATCTCTTGCTTTTTTCTCGTTCTCGTTCTAGTCTGTCGCTTCTTGTTTACTCTCGCTTCCCTCTCCCTCTGGGTCTGAGGATCAGATATCTCGTTCAAGCCACAGGCCGAAGCAGTCCGGGGCACCAGTCGGAGCGACCCCTGGGGAGCCGTTGCCGACAGCGCCGCTGGCCCAGCTCTGCCTCGACATCTGCTAAGAGGAGGAGCCACAGCCATCTGACCTCATATTGCAGAGAGAGGCACTGCAACTTTAGGCTCAGGAACTGCAGCTCGAGCCATGTGCCCGGCGAGGGATGACTCCTTCGTGGAGCACACAGAGTACTGCAGCTGGCTGCGAGGGCGGCTGCCGAATTGGCAGAGTTGGAAGGAACTGGAGGACACATGTCTCCTCTACTCAGAAGAATTTGGTATACCTTCATTGGCGAACAAGGGAGGGTCGGGGCTCTGGGAGCTGCCCTGAGGACGACGAGATGGACAAGGCGAGAGGACATGCTTGTGCATGCGTTAGCACTAGAATGCAGTCTTCACTTCACTAGACTATGCTACATCTCACTAGACGTCAAGTCGTCCGAAGGGCTTTTGGTTCCCCAGACGACCATGTTTGGCTGCAGGCGGCGATTCCAGCCCAGTGCTTCGATGCTGGCGCTCTTGCTGGGCTTCTTATAGCCTTCTATGCCGCAAGCGTGGCGGCTGGGGTGGTCCTGTGCCTCTGGTCGCAGGGAGCTGAAGCAGAGACTCAAGAACTGCCGTTCCTGTCCGTTGCCAAGTTACTACGGAAGACCGGAGTTGTTGGATGGAGAGATGGATTCACATGGCCAGATCTGTGCAATCGGCAATGCAGCCTGCTTGCACTCAGACGCTTCGAAGATGTTGCCTGGCACCCTGGCAGTAAGGGAGGCCAAACTAGAAAGAAAATAAAGAGTGCAAGCAGCCGCACGTTGGGCCGGTCATGCTGACCTCCCCACTCGTTCTAAGGGCGACTTGAATTACAGTGGATGGGACTCGTTGAGACGTTTTGCTCTGGTCCGCGATTCATGCGTCGACATGCTGATCATGCTGTTTCAATTCTTTCTGTGGTTTTGCAGCACCGCTTGGATAGTGGAGGGAAATGTCGGCTCAGAGGTTATGACAGGAGGGAGGGAATGCAGTGATTAAGTCTGGCGTGACATAACCAGCGGTGGCTCGTGTGTTAGATCCTTCGGACTCCATGTGTTTGAAGGTTCAACGCCCGATGCTTTACTGGCCAGCTCCGGGTGAGGCCGGCCTGGCCGCTTGTGGAGTGCGAGTTAACTTTGCAGTCTGCACTTCCGTTTCCAAGTTCCGAGGCCAGGCTTGCGACTTGCGTCGCGGAGTGTCCTTCGGAGGTGGACGTAGTGAACTCGAGGCACAAAGCAAAGCCATTTTGCACGCATGACCCGTGTAGCGCCGGGGTGTGTACTAGTAAATGCCTACTAGTGGGGAACCTTCAAGTTTGTAGGTTACATCGGGTGACGTGCAGCAACAGCAGCGGTCAATACGCGACGGCAAGCCCTGCGTCAACAGCATCGTCAGTCAGGAGGGATAGACAAAAACCGTCCGTTGCAAGGTCCTTGGGACCAAGATTTGTCCGAATGAATCGAATTAAGATCAGCCGTTCGAAACGATGCAAGGGCATGTTCTTTGAAGCCAAGGAGGCAATCTCAACGATCGACATCAGCTAGCATCACAGCAAACTTCAGCGGCATGTGTTGTGTAGCTTAATCGCAGCACGACCGCGCCGTGGTTTCGATATTTTGGGCAGAGCTGTGTCCAGATGGGCGTACTTCTTGAGGAGGTGGACCTCAAGTGGAAGGAGACAGCAGTTTCTTTGCTATCAAACATGCCCTCGTAGAAACCGGAGCATCGCTTTCGGTAAACTCAAAAGAAGCAACAATGCTTGCCACGAACCCCCTAAAAGCACTGAATTGAAAAGGTGCCGGACACGCAGAAACGCCTGCGACTTTCTGCAACACCTCACAATTGCCGTCTTGCTGCCGTAGCAAGGATCCGTCCGCCTGTTTGGGAATAGCAGGAGGAGGACAGTCGGAATGAGCCAGTCATAGAGAAGTGACTGGACAACGTGGTTGCAACAAATGGACAATATTGGGTTTGCGAGTCTGCGGGGGCTGTCCCAAGTGATTGCGGCGCTGTGAACAAGAATTCGCAGCTGATCATGCCCGTTGGCACGCGGCGCACAGCCGTGGTGCGACAGCTTTACTTTACCAAGAAGGAAGCTACAAATCTGGTAGGTGTGAAAACTGATGAGGCGGAGAAGTGTTTGACCTGCATTCAGATCTTGGCAAGTGCCTCAAACTCCCCTCCTGGTTATCTCGCAAAAGACAAAAACGGCCTCAAAACGTCTCCCTCGCAAACGAGAGGCTACATATATTCGACCGCAGCACCAGTGCACGGTCTTCTGTGTGACGGGGATGCACGCTTTGCAGGGCGAAACCAGTGTGTTGGAGACGAACAAGTTACCACTGCAAAGCTGGCTTCAAGGTGGTTGCGTCTGCCCGATCCAAGTTCCCATGCTCTTGTGGTGTCAGCCCATGGCGTCACTCAAAGATCAAGTCTTGATCTTTGGATGACGACACAGGCTGTCCCCAAAAGTGGCTTCGAGTAGGAAATGAAGTTGTGACAAAAATGTGTCATAGCATCAGCCGGCCACCGGACGATTCGAAGAAACACGCACCGTGTTTTGCTTTGTTGTGGTTAAGCAACACTTGTTCTTGCTCCAAGAGGCAGTAGTGGTAACACAACACTCAAAGAAACGGATCCCGGATGTACAAAGCAGCTGGCCCGATGCCCGCTGATACCCCAAGGTCTTTGAGACATGCACAGCTTGCTGCGTTGGCTTGCTGCCTTGCTTCATGTGTTGCTGCAGGTCTGTGAGCGTGGCTACGATGGAGCCCGTCACGATTCAGGGGTTCCTTGGACTTTGCGAGGTTTGTGTCACCCACACGTTTTGCAACAAATGCAACCAAGAGCATGCTTTCTCGGTGAAGGTTGCTGGAAAACGGGACCAACCACGCACAGGAGAAGGTGGCACTTGTGAAGAGGAGCCTGGGACATGTTAAGACAACACGGAATGTTTCGAAACCAGGTTTTTGCTGCCATGCGTCTGGAACTAAGTTTCCCGAAGACCCCTTATGTGCTTTGGTCACGTTTTGTCCATGATGATACCTTTGGCTCGTGAAAGGCAGATGCTGGGAAGGAGTTCCTATCCAGTATACGAGACACTTCCTTGCCTCGGGCGGTTCTGCCTTCCGGACGCGAAGGCCCGTCGGAAAAAACGGACGAAGAAGTATACCACTAGTCTAGTGGTAGAGTATTTCCACTTAGATGGAAAAATCCGGGTGCGGCATACATGTCGATGCCATAAACCAGGCACCTGGCATCTTCGCGTCGTTGCTGTGGGCGGCTGGTGAGCAGGGAGCCGTTGTGCCTGGCGCATCCGTGGCCTGGATGAACTTCATCCGGCATTGTTGAGACTTTTCCACTGTCTGAAAGTACAGCCTTGAGCATTGGCGAAAGCTTCAAATTTGACTGAGGCCTTGTTGTAAAATACAGCACCAGTCACAGGTCTGGCTTTCGCAAATATTTCTGTTACGTGACAATACACTGCCATTGGAGTCCCGAACCGCTAAATCGAACCGTACACGTGACACACTTGAAAGAGGCATAACGCTAAGCGCTTGCAAACGGTCTAACGATTGAAGGAATTGACACGACACTACATGTGACCCACTTGGTTTAGAGTCTCAGGGTCCAAGAATATAGGGTTTAGGGGTTCAGGGTTTGGGGTTCAAGTGGCACAAGTGGCAGGTTTAGGGTGAAGGGTTGATGTGACAAGTGGCAGAGTTCAAGTGTGTCGGAGTCAAGTGTGTCAGTGGGGTTAAGCGGGGTAAAACGCAGTGGCCCGCTAAAAGCAGGTTCAAGTACGTCAAGCTATGTCAAGCTGTCGACCGTTTGAAATCGATTAGCGGTTCCCGTTTCTCCACGCACTGTGAAAGTAAGTTCCTCTTGCCTCAGTACAGTAACAAATTACGTGGAATTATTGTACTGGAAAGAAACAGGGGGTCATTCACGTTTTTATTCGCGTCGTTTATGCAACCTTGACATTTTCGCCTCTTGGGGACATCACATCCACCAGATTGGCTTCTCCAGAAACATGATTCAAGTTGCGCAGCATGGTCTTGTTCAGGTTCCCTGTAGGTGGACACTAGCTCAGTGCAGCAAGACGCGGTTTTCCCAAGCAACACATTAAAGAAAGGTCCGAAAGACGAAAGAGGCAGGGCAGCACATTCAAATTCTACCATGCCTGCGCCATCAGAATTGACTCAGGTCCTGATGGTGTACGCACGGCGATTGCTGGGAATCCTGCGTCAGGGGCCTCCGTGGAAGGAATGGCTGGCCTCGCATTCTTGGACATTGTCGGACCTTGTCTGTGAGCCATAGCTGCATGTGGCTCGTTCGACAAAAGCTTTCTACACGTGTCAGCCAAGGCAGCAGCCGTGAGCGTATTCGCCCTCGGCGGGCTGTCGCAACTAGTGCAGGTAGCTTGCCCTCGATGTGCTGCCTTTGGGATCACGACGATTACAGGTAGCTTGGCAGCTGCAGCCAGCAAGATGGTGTGGGACACTCTGCGCAAAGTTGATGCAGCAGCGACAAAAGATGCGGCGATCGGGTTGGAGCAAGGGAGTTTGGCTCCCGGAGGTCTGCAACTTGTGAACGCTGCCCTCCTGGTGCTTGCAGCACTCGCAGCCATCGCACTCACTTGCAGCCGCAAAAGGCTAGTGAGAGGTGCGGCGGCGATGTCAGCCTCGCTCCTGGCCGTGCCACGCAGGCTTCTCCTGGAGCTTTTGATGGCCACCTTGCTATTGGCGGTAACCCAGGTCGCTAGCCTCTTTGCTTGCGCAGCTCTAGTGCAGCGCGCTGCATCGGTAGTAGTTCCTGACTCCCGGCTTTCGGGAGTCGCCGGGTCCACTTCGGGAGCCTTGCCAGGAATAGAAAACTCCACGAGTGTCCTGCCCGGATCCAATCTGCTTGGTGAGGCCTGGCCACCAGGACCTGTAATTTCTGACACTCAGCCTTTCGCTTTCTCGGATGTCTTGTGCTTCTCCCTTCTGCTGGTGGTGATACTGATCTGCTTCTTGTGGCTGCAGCTGACGGAGGCAGTCTTTCGGGGAAAGGTGGCGCTCGAAGTGGCTTTCTGGTATTTTTCATTGGATCCAGAAGATGTGGCTCAGCCATTGGCATCCCCACCAGCGATAGCATGGGTGCTCGCACGACGTCATGTGGGGTCCCTGGCCAAGCGTGCCTGCTTTTCCCCCCTAAGCTCTCTTTGCTCGGTTGCCTTCAGACTGAAGGCTTTTAAGGCCGAGGCCCGAGGCTCTCCCTCCTGGGCTTCCTGGGCTGAAGCCTGCTCCGGACAGCCGGCCGTGTTTCTCTCTGTCTTTCCAGGCCACGATTTCTTTGAGTCCGCCAGCATGATTGCTGCCTCCATGCCTTTTGCCTTGGAGACCTTGCGTGGAAGTCTCGGGGCTTCCTCGCTTCCTTGTTTCTTTTCCGGAGCCAGCATGCCATTGCTCGTCGTGGCAGTCGTGATGCTGGTGTGTCAGCTGTGGAAGGAGCCCGAAGACGGGGAGCCACACAGGTCAACGGAGGACAGCATTGAAGTGATCTGGTTTTTGATCTTGCTAGCTGCACTGCTCCCCGCCGGTATGGCCTGGTCAACTTTCTCCGGTGCCCTCACCGAATCCCTGCTGACCTGCTGCATGCTCGACGATGTCTGGTTCCAAGCTTTCCGCAAACCTGTCGAGGCTCCGCGTGCCTGGGGGCAGGAGCATGTTCCCAGGAGTCCTGTGACGGTTGCTTCCTCCCATGTGCTGTGGAGCAGCAGGATGGTGCCCTTGAGGCTTCGCATCCTCTTGACGGAATCTGACGCAGACGTCTGAGCCACCTCGCCATGACGAGAAACTTCGTTTGCGAGAATGCAGCTTGCGGGTGGCCTGGCAACAGGTCACCACACAAGGACAACGCATGACATGGCTGGACACTGAGCATCGCCGTGGAGGCGCTCAGTACCACAAGTACAGGAGAAGCATGAAAAGGCAAGAGCTTCCAGCCCGACATGAGGCACGGGTCAGCAAGAACTCGATCTGTAGAGCAGGTCTGCTCGAGCGCGGCTTGCTGGAGCTTTGACCATGCGCAGCTGTACCTGACATAGTATGACCAGGGCGCAAGACACTGCCAGTGCAGAGAACATATCGAGGCAAAAAGTTGATGCTGTGCTGACCATTGGCTCATTAGCTGGTTCGAGGTCGAGGATCTGTGCTTTTCAAGCGTGCAATGGCTTGACCATTTACGTCGGGGTCGGGATCTAGGTTGAACAGTTGTGTCTCAGGACTCGGTGTGTTTGTGTGACTGTGAAGAGTGCATCGTAGAACCTTCGTAGCCCACTCGAAACCTCCCCTTCGTCTTCCTACACCTGCATCTGAACCTGCACTTTGCCGGAGGTCACAGCCCGTGGGCCAGGCGCGATGCGTATCAATGCGTTGAAGGAGAGGAAACCACGAAACCACGGGTTGAACAGATGGAGGGCCGAATGTGCATTTCAGGATGCTTTCATGGTGAAACAGGGCAAAGACCCCAGTGGAAAGCAAAAAATCAAGTCTCAAGAACTTGAGTCATTGAGGCTGAAGCCCCGATTTCTTGCTTCCTTAGCTGCCATTTGGCTCAGTCACTGTGCTTGAGCACAGGTTAGCTGGGCACCTGCAACCAAATCGCGAGCCAATCCCCAGACGCTAGGCACAAGGTGGAGTGAACAAAGCAGATGCTGACAACAGCCTTCGGATGCAGTAGGTGCTGACACACACCATCCACCGCATATACTTAGCCAGAGCAACCCTGCTTGCATGTCGCTGGGTCATGCTTCTGGGTCCACACAGGGTCCACAGATCCGCCCCAAGCGAAGCGAAACCCAGACCCTCTAAGCCAAGATAAGCCAAGCACGAGTTTCCAGAGAAATCTTGAAGACAAATGAGCAGCCATGGCTGCCTTCAACCCCCCTTTGCGCGCATCGTCCCGTACAGGCCCGACAGAGCCATCGAACGCCCGAGTTCTTGAATCCATGGCCCTGCAAACTTCGAACCTGTGCAGGTGGTGCCGATGATGCTGCTCGTCTCTGTGAGAAGGGGTGCCAGCGTCCAGCCTTTGCGGCCTACTCGACGTGCTGCACACATTGCGAGGGCCCAGAAGGGCCTCATGCAACTTAGCAGGCGTAAGTCGGCGTGGTTGAACTTGTGAGCCCTCCAAGATTTCATGATAACGAGAACCGGAGACCTGCACTCTCCAGCCAGCGGAGGTTTGGAGTTGGTCGTTGCAACTTGGTTCCACGGATGCTCATGACAAAGTATTCATGCTCAGGCCGGTGACTGTGCCAAGAAGGTGGAGCTCACTGGACGGCGGGTGAACACTCCTACGGTCAAGAGACCCGGCTGTGAGACTTTAGACGCCCCTTGGTAGCTTGGCGCAGCTCCGCCAAGGAACCTGGGCTCCATGGTGATCGTGCGCTGCATCTCTGCAAAGCTTTTTCGTAGCTTCGACAAGTTTGGGCGGATGGAGCCTCGGATGAAGCTAGAGTCAGGTAGAGAGACAATGTACCTCTATCTGGGCATCTTTGGGCATGCGACTTCGTGATCCGTGAAAGGATCCCTTCGCCGTTGTGGACTGGTTCTATTCAGACGGCAACGTCGTAACCGTGGGGAGAACGAGGTCTGCATGGGGGCAGCACATGTCACCCAAGTGGGAGCACTGTTGCAAAGCAGTGCACTACAGTGGCTCGGGTGGAGGTGACAAGGTGCCTTGAATCTCTTCAGGAAGGCAAAAGCCCAAATGGAGCATAGATAAAGCTTAAGCAGGTCACTTTGCAAGAGTGAAAAATCGCGCTCGCATCCGTCAAGGTGCGCTTTCAAGTTCTCGAGGAAAACTTCGGGGGGCTGGGAAAACCCACATTCTGTGGCTTGCTGGCATTCAGAGATGTCACTAAGAAGCACTCCGCTGCGGAGCTTTGGGAGCCCTGGGCGGAGCCTTGGCTTGGCCTTCGAGGCGGTGAGCAGACAGTTGACGTTGACATGCTCGTGGCGGGAGCACGCATGGCTCCTTGGCCTATGCTTGCCTTGTGTCTACGCCGATGTCTTTTCTTGCAGGCCCCACTTCTGTGGCTTTGGGTTTTTGGCGGAGCGGCCTAATGTTCTCTTCATAGTAAGAAAGAGTGAGCCCCAGCCTCCGTAATAAGAGTCGGCATCCAGACAGAGGCCCCCACAGCCCCTCAGCTTGTTTAAAAGCTTCTAAACGTTCTAGAAGTGTTGTGGAAGCAAGTAAGAAGCTGTTTTGGAGCTTTTTGGCGACCCCCAAAGCTTGCAGAAGCTTGTTTAGAGTCCAGAAGCCAAAAGTGTCCCAGGCCTGCTTAGCCAGGGGCCTTAAAGCCTTGTCAGCTCCGTTGAGCTTTCATCTATATGAGGTTTCTCATTACGTCCTAGAGTTGGATTTTGCAGGGGATTCTGAATATGAAGTTGACACTCGTCTGGTCAGCTTCAGGTTAGGGATAGAAGTGGCTTCGAAGGGATTTCATCTCATGAACGGCTGCGAAGGGGTTGGAAGTTTCAAAGCTCCTCTCCATCTTCAGGTCGGCCCGGGCTTGATGCGAAGTCAGCCCCAGCCTGTGGAGCTGTACAAGCGGGGGGAGAAGACAGAATCCATCCTGGTTCAGTTGGTCGTCCACCTGGAGAGCGCTGGCTCGCCGATGCAGCTCCTAAACTCAACAGAGGGGAGTCCTTTGCTGTTAGTGGAGTGTTCTGGAGTTTCTTTCGAGGTCTGAGTTTACCTCGGCCGAAGAAAGCAAGTTCGAGTCGCCGGTCAAGCGGATTGGAGTGTCCGGTGGGACAGCCCCCTTCTTTAGCTTGCTTCTCAAGGATCGCCCTCAGTCCATTAGTGCAAGCTTATGCAAGCTTCCAGCTTTGAGGTGTGTAATTAGCAGTGCAGAGAGTGCCTTTGTCAAGCCGTGATGAAGCTTCCTGAAGCAGGAACCGCAAGGCCAGCGCTTCGGTGACTACTGGATTGGCAAAGACCTTTCCCGCGCTATGGACGAGGTCCAGTTCTACGAGAAGTGCCTGAAACTGGGACGGAGTACGACCGGTGAGATGCAGTCGCTGCTTAGCCCGACAGTAGGAAGTTTCTGACTCTATATTCTCTATATTCTCTATCGCTCTTGCTTCGAGCATGGCTGGCCAAGGCTCCTCCACTTCATGTTCGAGTATGCTGGTGTTCTAGACACCACTGCAGAGGGCGAAGAGGGTTCCGAGCTGCAGCTTCTGGCTTCTTGGCTCACGGTGGAATTCCCGCTTCAGCCAATGACCTGATGTTAGCTCTACGGTAGATTGGATGCCAAAGGTCTTAGAGAACCTGCGCCATCGCCGCGCCGGTTTGCGGTTGTTGGACATCAAGGCCGTATCCGGGAAAGGATAAAGACTCGAGAAAATCTTGACAGGTCAAGCAGCAGCTTGTAGAATGCTGTGGATCCACCGTGGCACTCAGCTTAGTGTGGACACTCCGGTGCCGGGTCTGCCAGTAACGACCGAAGACCTGTGCCGTTGCGGTTGGTTCCTTCTGGTGGCCCCATGGGCTCCAGCTTGAAACCGTCCCGAATGGAAGGTCGGCGAGAAGACTGCTGCTGCCAATTGGAAGGGCAAGTCGCGGCTGGCGGCCCTTCGGCAAGGCCTCATCGACGAGCATACGAACTCCCAGGCTCGGTCCACAAGGGACACTACTCGAAGCCTCGGCTCTAAGTCGACGAGGGTTCAGCCGCGTTTCCTATGTCTCCTGCAGGCGGAGGGATTCCGACTCGAAGGTTTCGATGGCCAGAACCCGGTGTTGATCTCCATGGACCCGCTCCTGGACTTCGGAGGCCGTCGCCTGTAGTAGGGCCAGCCATCGTCAAGCCCTTAGTAAGCTTTCGGATGTTCCGGCTGCAGAGGCATGTCGATGCAAAAGGCAAATCGATGCTTCAAAGGAGCCTTGCTTCCCTCCACAGGTGAGGAGGGCCATGGGAAATCGACTCAGAAGAAGGCCCGGCGGATCATGCTGCAAAGACTGCCCGCCGCCGAGATCTTCATGCACTTTCTGGACATGCGCCTAAACCCAACGAGATGGGGGAAGTCTCTGCATGCTATGCCGCGCGTCCATAATCCGGTTGCCGATCCTCCGTGCTGAACGCGCGTAGATTCAGTCAAGACGGGCGTCCTTCCTTTGCTTTTGACGTTTTTTGAGCCTCCCGGCCAGGCGGGTTTTCGGATCATCTCCCTTCTTCTATTAGAAAGCTGTTTCTCAAGAAGGCGCCTCCGTTACGCCTCCGTTACGCCCAAGGCACCACTATGCAGAGCCTGGAGCTTCTGTGGTGCGCTGTGGAACCGAGCTGCTGGAGGCCTCTGCGCACTTAAACCGGGGCTGCCCAGGAGTCCGTTTCAGTTGAAAGATGAGCTTTTGATGACTCTCCGATCTTGCAACGTGGCATTGCCTGCCGTTGCGGATCTTGCATGCCGCGCACCGAATTCTTGAGCTCTTCGAACCATGTACATGGTCCGGCTCCCGGAGGTCGTCCTGTCGGAGATTTGCAAACAGCAGCTGGGCAGAATCCCGGGCCTTGGATTGGAAGAGGCACAAGCAGGCTTTGGGGGGGCACCTTCTGAATTGTTGATGGAAAGATGTCCTGATTCGGCCTCTCTGCGAGTATCCACGCTTTTGATCTCTCTGACACATGAACAGCAATTTTGGAATTCAAAGGGCAAGCCAGCATTCGGCTGATACTGCACTCAAAAGAGCTTGAGTCCGTAGCATCGGCATTGCTGACGGGCTCTAAGTTTGTGTGACGGCTTGCATCACACAGGTTGTTAATTCTGAGTCAAAGCAGGGAATGGCCCCCCTGTCACCCCCCCCCCCCCCAGAGATCTTTTTCCAAAGTTCCCTAAGAGAGTTCGCCAGAGTTCAGCTAGGCTGGTGCAGCTGGCCATGGCCTGCCGGAAGTGCGAGGCCCCTCAGCCGCTCGGCTCCGAGCACCGCCTTCTGAGGCTGCGCTTCAGAGGTTTCCTCTTTGCCTCAGCTTCTGCTATCTCTTCTCTACTTTTTGGACTTTTTTTGGCACACCTTGGCATCTTGAAGTGAAGGTGCCGTAGCCACAATATCAGCAGTGCCGACGACGACAATAAACTACGGAGAAGAGCTGTGCATGTGGCCAAGACGGGGATTGAGCAGGAAGTGGATTGGCAGCTCTGTTGCGCTGGGCTTTGACGATGCCTTCGTCGAAGATCAAGTGCCGGGCCCGAATGGCTAGACAGATTCCTCTTCTGAGAATCCCGCAGCCTAAGCAGAAGCCACAGCTACCGTAAGGCCCATGTGGATGGCCGTGGATTTGGCACAGCTGAAGCGGCGCTGCGCAAGTCAGTACTGGCCACCCGCCGAAAGATGAGGAAGCACCGCCGTAGTCCATAGTCTTTAGCAGTTGCCAGCGGCGACAAAAGGGCACCATCAGCATCTCTTCTGAAGGTCAAGATCTTCGACTGGGGCAGGCCACCCTTCAGCAGCAGGTCATAGCGGCGCGTCTACTGAAGCTCACCACCACTGCCAGTGAAGCCGGAAGCTCTCCTTGAGCGACGCGAGGATACAAAGTTTCTTCTCAAAGCAGTGCACCGCATGCAGGTCCGAGCTGAACACGCTCCGCGATCACCCGGAGCTTACGCCGGAAGAGCAGAATGACAGGCTGTACTTTTGGCGACTCTACGTCGGAGGTATCGACCGGTCGGGTGTCCCAGCCTTGTAGAAAGCTTGAGACTGAACTCTGATAGTTGTGGCAGGTTCTTGGTCGTCTTTACGGGCCAAGGTCTGTGCAGTAGTGAGTTTACAAGTGTTCGCTGTTCCGCAAGGTGCAGGAAGCATGGGCACTGAGCCTCTTAGGTTGCCCCAGCCGGGCCCTGGCCCTAGCCCTTACAGTAATGTCGTGCCGATCGTTGAGACTGCCAAGGCTGGCATGGGAAGCCGTGCGGGCATACCGACACCGCCACTTGCCAACTCTGCAGGATCCAGGCTCATGCAAGCTTATGCGAAGGTTGTTGTGGCTGAAAGCCAGCTCGGAGCTTCAGATGTTGAGCTTAAACTTTGAAGACAAGCTCAAAGACAAGCCACAAGGCTTCGGCAACCCTCACGGATGGCAGCGAGTGCAGCTGGCTGTCTACGACTTTGACTCCCTGACGGAAAGCGATTTTATGGGCCAGGCAGGATTGGATGAGCATTGAGGCACATGGCCCTTGGCCGTGTCGCAAGCTTTGTAAGTGCAGGTCACAGTCGATTTGGTAGACATGGCCGAGACGACCATGCCGCTGCTTTCCGCTAAGCGGGAACCTGTGATGGGCAAGGCCCTGTCGCTTACGGAGTGTCGGTTACGTTGAAGCGAACCTATGCCTCTGACCTATGCTCGTATCAGCACATGCTTTCCATGCCAGGATGGCAACGCGACCATCACGTTTTCCATCAGGTGGCAAAGGCGCCGATATGCACGGATAGTTTCTATTCCCGGAGCCCGGCAGAACCAACCAGCAGATAGGCGAGAAGAGTAGTGAGGCCAGACATGGATGCATCAATGAAGTTGTATAACCTTCACCGCGTTTAGTCTTTCAGCAACGAGAAAGGGACGCTGTGTATTGTTTTGCAACCTCCCAGTGTTTACGTATTCCTGGCTGGCCGCGGCTGGCTGTGTGACTGAGTCCAGCGTGCACTGAGAGCACCTGCAAGACAACATCGCAGGCACGAGCCAAGCTCCAGGCTCCAGGGGGCATGGCAAGTTCGAGTCGTCTCAGCCAGCAACTTGCCCGTGCCGAGGGCTCAGCGGGCTCAGATCTCGGTTAGATGCAGCTGCCACAGGTTCCAGTCACGCTCTCTGCAAACTGCAAACCATTCTGCAAAGGTGCGATGGCTTCTGGGCTTCCATCTCCCCAGCTTCCTCTCGAGCGCTCGGAGGATTTTCTGACCCATTTGTACATATCACTGCGATGAGTGATGACCACGCTTATCGCTTCAAGCAGAGAGCCTTATCGGCGTTAGGGTCTTCGCTGCAGGGGCAGAGGGTGTTTGCCGGAATCAGTTTCCGCCGAGCTGAGGGTGTCGGCTTGCCGAGTGCCTGTCTTGATATTCAGATCGCTCAGGTACCAGCATCAAGGTCAAAAACCTGCACCCGGCTGCTTGGCTGCGTGGTACTATGATATCGCTACGTGTCGCTGAATCACGGCAGCTTCGTTTCAGAAGTGTGGATCTCTGCCGACCCTCCAAGCAACAAGCTCCTCCAGTCCTACGGTGCCGGTACGCACGCAAAAAGAGCATCTGCCGCCGATGTCACGATAAGGAATGGAATGAGACCTTCGAGCTTCCAGTCGCGCGTGCCGAGCATGCCGCACCGGAGGTGCGCACTCCGGGAGCACCCCTGCAGTCAACCCAACAAGAGGTTTGGAGATTTCGTGCTGCGCCGAACCTCAATCACCCGAGCTTGGCAAGCACAATGTCAGGTTATCATTGGCTCTCCCAAGGTCGTCGACTTCCCACCCGAAGCTCGCCTCAATAAATGATGTTTAGATTGTGTCCCGCTGCATGTCAGATGCCACCGAGGACCTTACCCTCCCTGCCGTGTGCTACACCGTGGAGGACAGCAAGGTCGCTGGTGTGGTTATCAAAATTAAAGGCAATCAGATAATATGAGGTGGGCTTGGTGAGTGGGCTCCTTAGGAGTGCGGGTGAGTGTACATTTTGGCTGTTGTTTCGGGAATACTAATGCCTGTAACAATAAAGACCAAACTGCACCTTGACTGGCGGAGTGAGTTTTGAGTTGCATTAAGTTTGGGAATCGGAGTGGTTTTGCTGATGGAACTTGACATCTCGCGAGCGTGAGTGACGTGTGTGACTTCTGTGCAGTGATGGCAGTGGTAGTTGAGGCATGCTAGCAAGTATTCCTCCGCTCTTAGGCAGGAGGATCAAGACTATCCCACGGCCAATGCCAAGCTTGCAAGGTCGAAACAGAAGCCATGACTCTCTGGAGGAAGATGCTGAACACTATCTGTGACAAGGCTGCAACGTTTTTACATTGCGAAATCCGTTGTTGAACCATTGGGGGGCTAGGATGCAACTGCTGTGCCTGGACGAAGCACACCGTTCACATACTGTGGCGACGTTGAGTGGATTTGAGAGACTGCTTGCTGTGCGCGCGCGGGTGTGTCTCTGTGTGTGTGTGTGCGTGCGTGCGTCTATGTCCAAGGTGGCCGGCAATTCCACAGTTTCCTGGTTTGAGGGCACTCGGAAGAATGACCAAAAAGGACGAACTCTTTACATCGAAGTGGAGGTCATCAGATTTTTCGCCGGCTCCTTGGATCCCCCTCCTTCTGCTTGGCCTTGGGACCTGTCCTAGGCTCGTTACGTAGAAACTTTAATGAATCTGTGCGCTTAGTTGCGCTGCATTCTACGGGACAGAGCGCGTTGCTTTCTGGCCAAGCCAGACAACGTGCCGGAACGGGGAGAAACGGATTCGCCTGCTGTCTTGGGCTCTTGGGCAGTTGTATTGTACAGGGCGAAAGCACCTTTTGAGCTTGTCTCGGCAGTGTCCTTCCGGTTGGACTGAATCTTCATGACCCTAGCAGGGCTCCGGAATCTGGCTCTTCGACGACAGCACTGACCCTGCAAGCCGCGGGCAGGCGCATGTCGGAGTGTGAATGATCTTCAGTCTCGTTCCGTCATGCGTCGCTCCGAATCACGGGAGGGGCATGCAGGGCATCTGACCTGTCAGGTATTCGCTGGCTGGTCAGAGTCAAGGGTAGCTTTTGAGAGATGGGTTGGCGATGGTCATGGAGTTTGAGCTTTGCAGAGAACTGCTAACGACGTTTCGGTAAAGCTTTGCAAGCCGCGATCACATTCTGACCAGGAGCTCACCGAGGATATGCTCCAGTCCCGCAAGGGGTACGCCTTGGTACAGGCAACCGGGTGACCGTGCGCAGTGAACACCACAGGTCATGAATGAACGTCTTCATGTTTGTGCGATTGTCATGAGACGATTCCTTCAGCAGTCTTTAGATGGCCTCGCGAGTGTCCTTCAGGTTGCCAACCTCGGCCTCCTGTTGTCTCCTGATGGCAGCCTGGAGCCCATGACTGTGACATCGCAGTACGTCAGCACATGGCCATTTTAGCGCCCTTGCACGCCACTCTTGACAAGGTGCGAGAGCAGTTCGACAAGTGAAGTCCAAGGCTGCTTTTACCACTCCGCCACATTTGATGCCTTCAGTATCCTTTAGTCCTTCTGACCGGCGCTTACGGGCCCCAGGCCCGAAGGGCATTCAGGGCCTCAGCCGTAATTGCCATTTTAACGGCCAGTCAAGGTGTCTGAGCTCGCTACCAAGACGAAAGACACAGGAGCAGGCAGCTCAGGTTATCCTAGCACGTGTTTTGCCTCGGTGAGCTCATCTTGGGATCTTACCCCAGATGAGTCGAATATGCCTACGGGCTGCAGTAGGTGGCGCTATTTTTTCGGTATTTTTTCCGTTTATTTTGGTATTTTGTCCGTTTCTTGTGCTCAGCCAGGCAGCAAGCAAGCACGCAACCACGCCAGCAAGCAAGCAAGC